GGGAGAGTGTTGCATGGGTTTGGGGAAGAGGGAGGTGAATTCTTGGAGGGAGATGATGGCGGGGAGTTGGGCGGGGATGAGGAGGTAGTTTGTTAGGATGGTGGTTTCGGTGATGGGGGGCATTTTTTGTCTTTGTTTGTGAGATGTGTGGTGGTGAGATGATAAGTGGGATGATGAGTGAGATGATGAGTGAGATTGATGAGTGAGATGATGGGTGGTGATTGGTGTGAGGTTGGCAGCTGGGAATGTTGTGTTTGATGAGAGGGTTGTAAGGTGGATAGATGGTGTGATGAGTCTATGTCAGTATCGAATGAGTTGGACTGTTGTAGAAGCATGGATATGAGTTTGAATGACGCGTAAAGTGGCTTGCTGCAGGCTGAAGGAAGTCGCTGAGAGGCGCTAGGGGGGTTGCTGCTTCGCGTGTTCCCGTGATCCGTGCTCTCAGAGATCCTTGGTTCCTATCTATCAACTCCCATCCCTGGCTGTTGTCAAGAGCCAAACACCCAAATCTTCCTGACTTTTCATTCACTTATCGTCGACAAACTGCCGACGCCGAGATCTCACAAACTCTAACCAAGGACCCGCAGATACTGCGTGTTTTCGACTTGCTCCCCTCGCCGCCGAGCATTTTCTGGGCTGCTTAGTCGTCGACTTTTTTTTTGGCGAGAGAGAGAGAGAGAGAGAGAGAGAGAGAGAGAGAGCGAGACGGTAACCACACTCCTTGATGAATCTCACTGGTCGCTTCATTCATTTTTATTGACGCCTATTTAGTTGTCTATCGAGATTTTTGACGCGATCAAGACCTCTGGCGCAAAAGGAAAACTAGAATTTGCATGATGGCTCCATCCAAAGCCACCCAGGCTCCCTTTGTCAAGGATGAGCGGGTCCTCTGCTTCCACATGGAGATGCTGTACGAGGCCAAAATCCTCGACGTTCAGGCCGCCGACAGTAGTGACGGCTGGCAGTACAAAATCCACTACAAGGGCTGGAAGTCCAGCTGGGATGACTGGGTCCCGCAGGACCGCGTTCGCAAATTCACAGACGAGAACAAGGAGCTGGCTTCGCAACTCATGGCCCAGTACAAGAACCTCCAGTCCGGCAAATCGAAGGGACCTAAGAAGGGAACGACTGCTGCTCGCACCGGTGGTTCCGACATGAGTTCTGCTCGTGGCAGTGAGGAGCGTACCCAGCAGGGGGCGACGACGGCCAGCGGGCGAGGCAATCAGAGACGTGCTCGTGATTATGATCTTGAACAGGTGAGTTGGCATTTGCATTTGCTTACATTGTTTGTCTTTCTGCGACACAGTCGGGCCGGGTGCCTTCCTTTTTGCATTTTACACACACAACCATCTGCCTCTTGAAACACAATATCTTGAATTCTGGAGGAGAGCTTTCATGGGTGGTCGACTGCCCGGGACATCACTTTTGAAGCATAACTTGGAGGTATTACTTGGAGTTGGGACGAAAGAGATTTGGTGAATCAACACTGGGCCGGGGGGATCAGAGCAACAACATTCGACTGTGGGTGAATAAGGAGGGTCACTCTCTGGCGTTCTCCTCACAATAAGACCCGCGTTCAGCACCGCACACAATAGTAGCATGGCGTTGCTCCCTCTGCGACTGTCCAGCTGTTTCAAGCCAGCCCTCGCCGACTACATCTTCTTGAACAATTCACGCCCACCAATCTCCAATCTCGGCGTTGCGGACCTTTTCCCACCACAATACCCTCAGTCGCAGGACCACGACATCGACACATCTCGGCGAAAGGAGCAATTTTCAAACACACGTACAATATCTACAAATTGTCGTGATCCGCCGCTGCAATGCCTCCTCTTCGAAGATCAACTCGCGTCGTCCCTCCTCGGCCTGCCCCAACCACTCGAGTCACTCGAGCCACCAAAGCAAAGATGATCCAGCCAAAGGAAGACGAGACAATTGAGGAAAAGCTTGCGCGGTACGTGTCTGAAGCCGACTTGCACGACAACTTACTGTGCTTC